CAATGTAGATGGGGGAGAAGCCCATGTTGTGAAGGGCGTAGATGGCCGCCCGAGCTGTACCTCCACCACCAATGACCACGGCACTAGCATCTCCGTTGGAGCCGTACACACCAGCGTTGCGAAGGGACAGCGTCATCCCCTGCCAATCCGTGTTGTAACCAATCAAACGGGCAGGCTTGTCTTGACCAGCGAGGACGGGCACAATAGTGTTCACTGCGCCGATGATCTCGGCGTCAGAGGAAATCTCGTCCAGCAATGGCATAATGTCCAGCTTCAGAGGGATCGTGACTGAGGCACCTCCGAAATCAGGAGAGCGGATGAAGTCCTTGACGTCCTCAGCGTTGGCCGTCTCGAGACGGCCATACTCGTAAGGGAGACCCGTCTGGGCAAAAAGCGTATTGTGAAGAGCCGGAGATCGGGACTGAGAGATTGGAGTTCCAAAGAGTGCGAACTTCTTAGGTTTGAGCTCACCCATCAGGGATAGCCCTTTGCGGATTTCGGTCGCAGAGAGCTGGCCCGGAGCAGCCTTGAATGGGAGACTGGGGTGAGACACCGGAGTCATAAAACCGTTCAAGATACGGCTGAGTTGTCCATTGTCACCCATGTTGATGGCAATCACAGGAACATCATGTGCCTCTGCAGCCCACTGCTTGAATTTTCTCAAAGCAGTGTTGTCGTCAAGGGTCTTGGCAACACCAACAAGCTTGATCACGTCGCCGTACTCGAGCGCGCGGTTGTAGTACTTCATCCAGGACATGTTGCCCCATGCAAGCTCTCCCTTGGGGTCGTGGTGAGAGGCAATGATCTTGGAATAGCCCTTCGATTCCGTGACCGAGCGCAGCAAATCATCGGGGAAAGCGATCTCCAGGTCTACGAACTCGGTACCAGACCGGATCGCAAGACGGTAGAGCTCTCTCGCCTCATCATAGGCGTTATCGGGGAAGCGACCACCTTGACTCTGGGTACGGATAGTGAAAATCAAAGGAAGTGAGGTCTGACTACGGAGGAACGACATCTGCTCGGCCACATAGTCGACTGAGGGAATCTCGTCATCCGAGGCCGGGTCCTTCAGCAGATCAACACGTAATTCTACTGCATCAGAGCCGACGCAGACTTCTTTCAGGATGTCGCTCGCCGATCGCAGATCAGGAAGAGTGAGAGAGACAAAGAATGAGTGCTCTTTACGCTTAATGATATCGAGACTGTCAATCTCCCCGGTAACGGTCTTCAAGAAACGTCTGAAATCTTCAGATGCCCGAGCGAGACCTCCAGTGCTCGCCGTCTGACTGAAGTACTGCAAGTTGCTGCACTCCTGGAACCAGGGCTTGCGACGCAACCAGACACCCATCATATCTTCAACATAGGCCGGGCGGGTACGATCGATTTGAAGGAAGTCCATAACCTGCTTGATGTCACGCAGAATAAGCAGGACATTGCCCTTGGTCTTGTGGTAGTCAGTAAGCAACTTCCTAGCCTCTGGAATCTCGACAATGCCACCACCGCACGCGAACACGTATCCGGTCGCGCGTTCTTTCAGGGTGCGCTGCAGAAGATTGAGCTCGGCGTCTCTGAAGCCCTGCCAGCCGCGTTGCTTGATAAGCTCGGGAATTGTCATGCCTTCCGTCTTCTCAAGCTCGGTATCCAGATCCACGAAGGGTCGCTTCAAAGTCTTCGCAACCCACTGTCCACTGGTAGTCTTACCGGCACCACGCATGCCGATGATGAAAACAGATGCGCTGGACTTCTCGGCTTGCGTGAGAGCCAAGACCTCTTCTTCCTTGAGCTCTTTACCCTCAAGCTTAACACCGAACAACTGCTTCAAGGCATCCCACCAGCCGGGCCAGGTCTTACCGACGCACTCACGCTCCAGGATCAGAGTCGACTGAGGGGTCACAAGAGAAAGGACACTGAAACTGTAAGCCACACGGTGGTCGTCATAACAGAAGATACCACCAGCAGGCTGGCGGAGAGTCGAACGGTCAATACCATCGATTTCAAGTCCATCATCATGCTCACGACAGACGACACCGAACTTGGCAAGTTCATCCTTCATGGCCTTGATGCGGTTGCATTCCTTCACACGTTGGTTTGCGATACCGTAGATGCGAGTGGTGTGGTTCGATCCCTCACCACGAGCAACGGCTGCCAGCACTGATGCTCCGAGGAACGCATCAGTCATGGGCTCCATGTCCACATTAGGCAACGGACGCAGAGCACCACCGGGAGCACCCGTGACAGTAGTCGAGGTATCAGTTTGCACAACAGTACAGCCCATCGGGCGCAAAACTTCCACTGCGAAGCGGGCGTCACCCTGTAGGGACTTCGAACCAATGTTGGGAACAGTACAGGTGGTGCCAGTCAGGGCAGCAATGGCCAGAGGGTAGGTAGCAGAGCTAGCATCACTCTCCACCACATACTCATCAGGGTTAACATAACGTCCCTGAGGGATGTGGTAGGTGTGTTCCTCAGTGGTGGACTTCTGGACGTCAATGCCGAAGGATCTCATCATCGCCGTGGTCATATCAATGTAAGGCTGCGAAATGGGCTTTCCGCCCACCAGCTTAAGGGTAACCGGCTCCTTGGCGTAAGGAGCGCACATAAGCAACGAAGACACATATTGCGATGAAACCTTGGCAGCAAGGTTGATTCTGCCTCCAGCGAATCCACCAGAGGCGGCAATCTTAAGAGGGAGACTGCCCTTGCTCTCCACGTATTCAACGGATGCACCGTTGGCGGTCAACGCATCAACCAAGTCGCCGATAGGTCTCTGCTTCATGCGGTTGTTACCCGTAAGAATGTTGTAGTCAACATCGCCAGGCGTAGCAAGGGTAGCGGCCGTAGTGAGGAAGCGCGAAGCCGTTCCCGCATTACCAAGGTAAAGCGGCGTAGAGGTCGCTTGAAGATCACCTCCCTTGCCGTTCACCACAAGAACCTCACCCTCCTCCTCCCAGGAGAAGGTACAAGCTCCCAGTCGCTCCAATGCGTTCAACATGACTTCAGTGTCGTCCGAGTGAAGCAGGTTCTTGATGCGACAGGTACCCGAACCGAGAGCAGCCAGGATCAATGCTCGGTTCGAGATACTCTTCGAGCCTGGGGGAGTACAGACAACATTTGAAGCTGGTGCGACACCGGGGTACACCTCGATACTCGGAGCGAGAACGACGCTGATGTCCTCGTTCGGAACAACGCTAGCCTTGGGCTCGTATGTGCGCCCGATCGCAGACAAAAGAACGACCTTCTTCTTGGGACCATCGTTCTTCTTATCCAGGGCCATGTTGAAGAGGAGCTGCTCAACGGAGCAGTGCTTTCCAGCAGTAAGCTTCCGGATGCGCGCATCCTTCAGAGACGTAGGCAATCCGTAGGCGGTAAGGCACTTGACGATACGAGCAACCGCAACACCCTTCAAGATGCCAAGATGGCGGGCCAATTCGGCCTCCTTGACCATACCAATGGCGACACACTCACCGTGGAGGACCTGAGGGGTCAGGATAGCCTCGATGGCATGACCAATGGAGTGACCCCAGTTCAACAGATTGCGGAGACCACCCTCACGCTCGTCAGCGGACACGACATAGGCCTTGTGACGAGCAGACGCCAGAATACGAGCCTTCATGATATCTTCGATTCCCTGGAAGCGACGCTGGCCAGGTTTGACCTCCTGACGAACAGCAGACAGAATCACTTCTGCGTTGGCTTCCAGCGCAGTGAATTCTTCCTCACTCGAGATTGCTGCCGTCTTGATCACTTCCGCCATGCCATTGATGAACTCGCGCACAGGGAGGGTCTCCAGAAATTCGAGGTCAATGTAGATCCTGGTCGGTTGCCAGATCGTGCCAATCAAGTTCTTTCCTAGCGGTGTATCGATCGCAGTCTTCCCACCGATGGAGGAATCCACCATGGCGAGCAACGTCGTGGGTACTTGTACATAACGGACCCCGCGCATGTAGGTGGAAGCGACAAATCCAGTCAGGTCTCCAATGACACCTCCGCCAAGAGCAATGACTACTGTATCCCGGCCACATGGTGGGCTCTGGCTCAACATCCAGTCCTCGATGGCGGCTTTCGTCTGTCTGGATTTGGACACTTCACCGGGGGCGACCTGGTAGATCAACAGACGCGGGGAGGGAGTAACGGTAGCAGCGACAGCATCGAAAGCTTTTTGAAACTCTGGAGTGTAGATAGAACCAATATTCGTATCTGTGATGAGAACATAGGTGGTGGAGGAGCAATTGCTGACCAGGTCTTGCGCGACATAGTTGCGCCAGAGGCCGAAGTCAGCAATGATGCTCTCCTGACCGAGAATGCTGATTTTCGTAGGTTCGGGCATTTTGAGGACTGTTGGGCATAGAAGTCAATGTTAATTCGAGAGAACAGACTGTATTTGTGCTCAATTCATGCTGTGGAAATAGAATTGCAAATGCCCCTCAGGCGCAGGTCCGACGCGGACTTGACCGATGGCGACTTTTCTCGCGGGCGAGAAGGTAAGATGCAATCGGAGAGACGAGAAATAGAGGCGCTTGAGCCGGATGAATTGAGACGAAATCGCAGCGAGAAGATAGAAGAGAAGGAAAGGAAATAGAGAGCGAGGGAAAAAAAGACTTTAATCGTACGTACCTCTCGAGCCCAATGACTCCGGCAAAGCGGACAAATTCCCCTCGGCGGCGGGGCTCGGCGGAGAGAGACCGAAGAAGGCGGGATGGAGGGGATGGAAGAGACAGCGGACACAAGAGAATGGAAAAGATAAGATGGAGGAATTGGAGAGAAGAAGGAAAGGGAACTTCTACCAAGAAACTGGAAGGAATAATAAGGGACTGGAATGAGGAGAAGGGGGAAGTCTGCAGCTCCACCCAATCCAGACACGGTAGAAATGGATGACTGACTCACAGTGTGCACTGTGGTGTGTGCCATACACTTACCTCTATTACACAGAGAAAAGGAAAGAAAAAGGTGACCGCCTCCGATGTCGTCCTGCCGCTGTCCTGCCGCTGTCCTGCCGCTGTCCTGCCGTCGTCCCTACCGGACACTAAAACTACGTACCGGTAGTCAATCTAGTCTAGTGCAGCTCCAATAATGCCTTGGCTTTCATCCCACTACAGCATTCTCTGGCTGCACTACACTCAACTCATCCTTTGGCCCAAATGCTCATTGTCCGCACGCACTGACTGTGTGCTGTACTACTCGTACTGTACAAACCCCCGAACCCCCACAATTCATCTGAACGCAAGCTGATTGCCTTTCACAGCTGCCGTAAGTGGGTATGAGTATCGAACTACGATCGTCAACCAGATGAGCTCAAGCCGATCGGGTCCTAGAGTGGAGAGAATCTTAGCCCAGAATTGCTCGGATCTACATTATTGTTCGTTTGTCCCGGTTTCTAACCACAGAGTAAATTCATGATAAGAGGCCACCAGCTGAATGTTGTCCCTTTCAACGCCTATCCCAAGTGTCCCAGTTCTTTCAATCCCATCATAGTTCTTATTCCGCATAGTTGCAATCGCAGGACTGTTCATGCAAATGGAGAAAACCGCAACCAAACGACGAAAAAAAAAAAAAAAAAAAAAAAAAAACCAAAAACAAAACCCCCAAACCAAGGGTCTTACATAGCATAAACTAGATCAGGTACGATCGGCACCTGAGACACAAACCCGAGCGGATCTGACCATGGCCGTGAAACACTAATAGCGACCGTATCCACCACCAGAGCCTCGCGAAGAGTAATGGTCCCGGCCTTGATACCCTCCCCGGCCATACCCACCATTACCACCGCCGCCGCCATGTCTACCCTGGTACTGATTACCAGAGTTGTTACCATAGGACCCTTGCTGATAGTAACCCTGCTGGCTTCGTCCGTAATAATCATAGTTATTCCCGGGCGCGTTCTGGTGCTGCTGGCCCGAGTAGTGCCCGCCCCGGTGGTAAGAGCCACCACGGGGAGGAGGGGGCGGTCCTCGAGAATAGCCTCCATGTCCTGAGCCAGGAGGAGCCCAGCCGGAAGACATGCCCATCGGCGCACTAGAACTGCCAGGGGGCGCGAATTTAGGGTCAAGGTGTGCTGCAAACGGGTTCGGGCGGTCGCTATCGTTTCGGTTGCTGGCATAGTTCATGCGACCGCCTCTGCCATTGCGGAAAGGTGCACCACCAAATGATCGACCCGAATGCTGAGCTCTGGATTTAACGGCCTGGATGTCCCCATTGTCAAGTGCCGGTTGCGGGAGCTTAACACCTCGGAGAAGCATGGACTTGTGAATGTTCTTTGACTTGGGAATTTCGTAATTGACACTAGAAAACGTCAGATCAGTACATTTAACGACACCAGGAATAATATACTGGTTAGAAGTGAAGATGGTACTCACGTTAGAGATCGATCCTGCTCGAGAGACGGCATGCCATATTCCTCAAGGGACGACACCAGCGAGCTGTGTGGGATATATGTCTCGTTGCGCTCAACCTCGCCGGCCAGTCCTTCACTTGCCCGCATGTTGAGTTTGTACTTGGAGGCGCCCTGCTTCTTCGAATAGAAATTGGCAACGAGATCTTGGTATACAGGATGACTGTCAGCTATCATCAGTACTTCCTGACCAGGGGTGTTTCTAGCTCTCTCATCATCCGACAACAAAGGATATTTTTTGGCCATGGCATCCAGCAACCGCTTTTCATCGATAAACGGCAGCAAGACAACGCCCTGCCAAGCGAATTTCTTGCCGTTCAAGTCAAGAGGGAAATCTTCCGGGTAGAAGTCGATGATTTCACTCTCGGGATCGCTCATCAGCGGGTGGAAGACCTCAGGAATGGCATGATTAGATGAAGCTGGCAGCACACCCATCAGTTGCTCGAAAGGTTTGAAGGGCGTTCCCTTCTCAAACGACAACTCCATTTCACCAATGTCCACGAAATCGGCCGCAAAGGGTGCGTAGTGATATGGGTAATACCACGTCCATGAAGGACATCCTTGGAAATAATACAGAAGGACCCAGGCCAAGCCTTCAGCATACGCCCGCGCGACCTTGTGACGGAACTCCTTGTCTTGCGGATCGACCCCGAACTTTTGCTCATAGTATCGATCAGCATATCCCTCCTCCCAGAGACGAACATTGTCCGGGGGCATCTCATCGTCCTTGGGTGTGTTCGGGGAGTCCTTGCTTGGAGTCGCCGCAGCATCTGCTTCGGCCTTTCTCTTACCAAGTACCGAAGGTGAGGTTTGATCCTGATCCATCTTGTCGTCTGCTGCTTCAGAATCCCCCGGTGTGAACTCCTCGGTCTCGTTCGAAGCCGATCCCTCCTGCGAGCCTTGCATCATCTTGCTCTTGAGTATAGCGGCGGCGCTCTTGTTGGCCATATTAGCCTTATACACTGCTCCACGGTTGACCACCATGCTGTGAGTCAATTCCCTCGCCTCCCGCGTTAGTTCTCCGCGAGCAGGTGTGATCAGCTCCACTCCACTTGGAGGTGCTGCGTCTGCGCTACCGCGGGCTCGGTTCGGAGTGGGTGATTCGTGAGTGTCATAGCTAGGGGAGCCTCTTCGCTGTCTTTTCGCCTGCTCTTCGCGACGCGCCTGGTCTTCCTGCTTGCGCCTCTTCTCGTTTGCAAGCTTCCTCTCTTCAGCTTGTCTACGACGGCGGAAAATAGCATCTTCCTGCTTCGCCAGTCCTTGAAGAATAAGCTGAGCTCTCTTCAGGTCGACATGCCCATCTTGGGTCAAATATCCGCCCATGACGGGGATATTGTCGCGCCAGATTGCGATTAGCGTGTCGATGCCATTTTCGCGAATGTCTAATGATGGTAAGTGCGGAAGGAAGTCATTTCCTACGAAGAAACACATGAAGACCCAATCATCCAAGGCACGCTCCAAGTCGAAGGGAAAAGGCTGCTGCGGAACATACAGCTCGGCAGCAAGATACTCTCGTAGAATACCAACATTGAGCCAAATGAATGGTTTGAGGGAGGATCCTTTCTGCTTCTCATCAAACTCTCCACTCTTCTCCTTTGCCTGCCCTCTGCATTCGTCCGCTTTATGGCCGGGCTGACCGCACAGGCGACATGTCCGTGGCTTGGACTCCTGGAAAAACACATCCTCGCGCAGAACTCGGAAATAAGGCTCATGAGTAGCAAGACCCAGCATAATCAAGTCTGCATCCAGACCGTAAATGACGTGGCGAGTGTTAGGATCATGCTCGGGATCCGCCCGCTGAGACCGGACGAACTCCATGATCTTGTGTTCTCCTTCACCTGGTACAGTCGCATCGGAGATAATGATTTTGAGCTATTATGATTAGCGGATCCGCACTCAAGCAAATAAAGAGACCTGACTCATACCTTCTCCCAAGCCGGGTCGGTGTTGAGCTTGTAAGCAATCCAGTAGCGCAAAGCGGCAGCAAGAATATCCATGAAAGGAGTTCCGGGTGTGATGACATTGCTGTCCCAAGTTTTCTGGATGACTTGTTCCGAAAGATCCTCGTCCTGCTTGTTACCGTTCTGCTTCGCAAGCATCTTCCGGAACTCCTCCTTCTTCTCATCCGCCTCTCTAGCTTCTTGAGCCGAACGGAAACGACGTGCTCGTTGCTGGTTCATTTTCGCTCGTGGCGCGACTCCATCTGAATTTGCGATAAGTGTTAACACGAGGCCGAATTTCGCTGTAGAATCAAGGTGACCGCGATTCACTTACCGACAGCGATCATGAGAAGTTTTCTGGGGCGGACCATGTTGACCACCCTATCAGTATACTTGAAGATCTCGACCATCATCTCCTGTTCATTCGCCGGAGGAGGCTTTCCTTCGGGATGAGTACAGGGATGGACGATACCGTTCATGTCCAGATACAGGTTGTCCATTTCATCGCCATTTGGATTGGGGCGCGTGGTATCAACCGGGACCTCTTCGCCGTTGACTTCATAGGGAGTTTCCTCGATGACAGGAGAGATGATCTTTGGGTACTTGTTGGATAACCATCGGAAAAGCGCTGGGACACCCATGGCTGCTGTTATATATCAAACACAAAGGTAGAAAAGTTCACAAACGAAATATGTAGTTTCAAATTGTTTCGCGGATGCGCTGCATCGGCTGTCTCGAGGCCTCAGATCGGCAAAGGTAACTGGGGATTCGTGTTGGGGACAAGGTCCGCGGTCGCGCGAGATTATGTTTCAGCGACAATTCCCACTTCACCCAGCCTGAGCCAGCAAGACAAAGAAATGGGGCCGGTGAAAGGAGTGCGAAAGACGACGACGGCAAGGGTCTTTGAAAGTCTCTGCGACAGTCAGCCGTTGACTTTTGAAAGAACCGGGGAGCCGGCGCTTCTTTTGTCGCGGTTCCGGATGCTTAGCGCGAGCCCTTGGCTTCGGGTCATTCCTATCATCCTATGCAGCGTCGCCGCCGCCGCCGCCGCCTCCGCCTCTGGGTTAGGCTAGTTTAAACTTAGCTGTCGGGACTAGTCCAGCTGCAGCTCCATAACTAACGGAGAGAACAACTCAGCCGATCGAGGACTCCAACGCTATCAATCTCTTTTACACTCACACCCTCAAGACCACTCAATGCTTCTACACTTCTACGCCCACGGCCGGCGGTGACCATGAAATTACGAGTTATCGATTGCGATGTTCCGAATCCTCGAATCGCAGGCTCCGGCCAAACAAACGGCTACGGACACCATTAATACTCTCAGTAGTCGACTCCAGAGTGCCACTTTGTTGGAAGATCGAAGAGCGGCCATTCAAGGACTCAGAAGCTTTTCAAAAACTTACCCAGCTTCTGTTGCTTCGGGCGCACTGCGACCGTTGATCAGTTGTTTGAGAAATGACCGCGAGGATGTGGACACAATTAAGGTGGTCCTGGAGACCTTGTTGATGCTGTTCACTCCCGACGAGAATAGTGTTGGTCTTCTTCTCTCTGACAGCTCTGATGAACTAGAGGCTCTAACATAGTCTTGATCCAGCCCGAAGCGTCCGATGAAATCGCTCTCTGGTTGTCAGATGAATTCACCCAGGTTCGGTGTTCGCTACGTGTTCCGTAAGGCATTGCTGACTGGGCGGAAGCGACAAGACAATATCACCGCGCTCCTCGATCTGCTAGATACACGCGACTTCTACTCTCGCCTCTACTCCTTGCAATTGATGTTTCAAATTTCTAGTGCGCGGCCGGAAAGGACACAGGAGTGTATTCTGACTGCGCCTCTGGGTATCCCGAGACTCGTCAGCGCATTGGGAGATTCTCGAGAACCGGTGCGCAATGGTACGCTCCCTGCAAAATCGAGTACTATTTTTGTATTCCCGCGCTAATGCATAGTTGCTATCCTTAGAGGCGTTGCTTCTTCTCATCGCGCTCACGCCAGCATCGGAGGAATTCCAGAAACTTGTTGCCTTCGAGAATGCCTTCGATCTTATATTCTCCCTGATAGACGCTGAAGGCGCATTGATTCATGGGTCGGAAGTCGTTGAAGATTGCCTCTCTTTACTGGCCAATCTTTTACGGCTCAACATCTCGAACCAGTCATACTTCCGTGAAACGGGTTGTGTCAAGCGACTAGCGAAGCTTCTTGCCGACGCA